AATCCAACCCAACTTCAAATTTTTCGGGTTATTGAATTATGTATCGTGTATTTACAGGAACATGCAACCCATAGCGGGTTTGGGCAATTCTTGGGTTGGCTTATGGCTGCTATTTACATGGGTGGTAGACTCCCTCAGATTTGGTTAAATGTGGGTATCAAATTTTGAATCTTTTATTCTTTTTAATTTTTATTATTATTCTCAAATTTATTTATTTGATCTTTTTGCCAGATCAAAAGAGGAAGTGTGGAGGGGCTGAATCCCCTCATGTTCGTGTTTGCGTTGGTTGCCAATGCCACTTATGTAGCAAGGTAAGGTTCGTTCTCTCAATACCGACCTCGATATCAATTTCGGGTTTTTTGATATCGTCCTCTCAATGAATGAATGCAGTATTGTCGTGAGAAGTACGGAATGGGATAAAATCAAAGCTAACATGCCGTGGCTGCTCGATGCCGTTGTTTGCGTCGTCCTCGACTTATTCGTATCCTTTTTCGTGATCCTTTACACTATGATTTGCTTTGAAATGTGAAAGCCTTAACTCAAACACCCAATAGATAATTGTGCAGTATATATATTACAGAAGTTTTAGAAGGAAGAGGCAAAGTGGAGGAAGAGAGTATGAAGAAGCAACAAAGCATGCAACCTTGTGACCAATTTAAGTAAAAAGAATGCCTTTTCTTCTTCATTTCTTGCAATCAGAGGCACAAAATGGGTCCTTTTGGCCTCTTTACTGAGTGATTCAAGAGGGCTGCTAATGGAAGATTAGATCAAGTGTTGAGGTTGAATATTCTTTGTAATGTTCTTGAAGGATTCTAGACTTGTTTTTAGTTTTAACTCTTGAAAGGGTGTTGTGATGATCCTTTATGAGAGTTTTATGTTTGTGTTGTTTGTTGTTGAAACTCAAAGAATGAATTTGATTTGGGTTTCCAAAATAAAAAAAAGCCCAAAAGCCCATCCATGAATAGTGGAAGTGGAAGATAGAAATATCGACTTTTCAGATGATAATAGTTACTTTAAGAATATCGATGTGTAACGATTTTGCACATCATTCATGATAGTCGTAGCATTTAATCGAAAAAAGTTTCTCTCAATTTTATAATGTTTGTTCACAATTTTTTTCTTGTGTTGCCGAAATTAACAATAAGATGATGAACTACGAATGGGTTATTCCAATATGAGAGAAAATGATAACATTATTCGTGTTTTGTAGGGACTCTTTGAACAGAGAGAAGATTTTCCATTTAGACGAGGAAGGTGGGATGAATTGAGAAATATATTTTTCCTGCTATTATAAATATATTTTCAATACCTGCATTGGCACACACACATAAATGCACGGCACTCGCATATACACGCATACACGGAAGGGCACGCACGGACAACCATAGATATATACTTTTTTTTTTTTTTTTTTTTTTTTTTTTTTTTTTAAAAATAAATCATAATTTTT